ATCAACATTATCCTACCAATGGATCAACATTGTCCTACCGACAGATCTTCATCATCATTATCATCCTCCCGACGAATCTTTATTATCATCATCCAACCAATTGATCTTCATCAGTATTATCCCATCAGTGGATCATTGTTAATCATCATTTTATCGATGGAGCATTATCATCCTATCGATGAAGTAGCATCATCCTATAGATGGATCAACATCACTCTACCAATGGATTATCGTCATCGTATCAATGAAGTATCATCATCATCCTATCGATGGAGTAGCATCAACATCATCATCCTATCGATGAAGCAACACCATCATCATATCATTATCGTCATCCTATCAATGAAGAATCATTATCCTACCAATGAAGCATCAACATCAATATCCTATCGATGGAGCATCATCATCATCCTATCATGTAGCAGAATTATTCTACCAATGGATCAACATTATCCTACCAATGGTTTATCGTCATCTTAGCCATGAAGAATCATCACCATTATTTTCATTTGCAATAACGTCATTAAGATATCCATCAATATATTACATCAGTCTATATTTTATTACTTCGATATCAAAGGAAGAGTACATAGAAGATTATATTACAAATATGAAATACGAGCTTTATTTGCTTTACGTCAGAATGGAGGAAGCTGACGTCAAATGTTCAAGGAGAGCAATTAAGTGTCAACACGGTAAAATACACTATCTCCCCATTTGAATTACATTTTTTATTCTAATGAGTTTTATCTCAGTCTTTGTCGAGAGCAACCAAGAGGATGAATTCTCAAGTCAAACCACAGGTGCGGATGACATCAACAAGGATGCAGCACAACGTGAAACTTTTTCTTAGCAGCGAACTGAGACATAGTCCGAAGAGAAGTGTCAAACTCTTAGGACACGAGCAGAGAAGCAACTTCCACCACAATCAAACCACACCCCTATCAGAAGACATGTGGGTTTTCTTTAGGTTTATTGGTTTCAGTTTCACATCCGGAAAATTTTGGTTTTCACCGGAAGCAGCTTTCCAATCCGAGTGACAATGCACCAAGAGCTTTGGAAATTCTGTCTGTGTAAGTTCTTAATTATAGGTGTGAAGTGCACTACATTCATGACCAAGAGGTTGCAAGCCTCTTTTTCATACTCGACTTATTTTGTCACTCCTCCCAACCGAAGGTTATCTTAGCATAAGAGATTTCCTTTTCAACGGATCGAGTCGAACTACAAACAGCCTGATTCCCTAAGTGGAAGGATATGTAGGCGGGCACAATGTTGAAAATTCGGTTGTAATCTGACACTCTCTCTTAAATCTTATTACCTAGCATTCCGGTCTCTTCATATTTCGATATCGAAATAGCTTTTGAATTCTTTCATAATCATACGTTAAATCAAGCGTATCGAACTACAAGTGGCCTGAATTCTCATATAGCCTGAGATATGTAGGAGACCCGACACCGGGGTTCGGCCATAATTCTTAAAGTCCGTACCAAAACCCCTTTCTAAAGAGATGGATATGTGGTCGGTCAAAATTGGATTTGTCAATTTCATTTTCCTCAAATTTCTTTCATCAATCCAAGTCAAACGGGGGACAGTTGTTGACACCCAATTTTGGACCTCCACAATATAGATTAATCATCGAGCTTCTTCAATTTCAAACGATTTGAAATAATTAGTTTTAGAAATTTTCAAAAAGAAAAAAATATATATAAACAAACAAATAAATAAATAAATAATAGTTTACAAGTTATTTTTAGATGGTTTGTCGCTTTTATAATTTTTTAATAATATATCTTTTATATAATTTTGTATATAATTAGTATATTTTATGAATATTCGAAAATCGTCTCTAAAAAAAGATTTTGTTTTACTTAAGTATTTGGTCAATTAGTTTAGTTATATAATAGTTTTTTTTAATTAACTAGTGTATAGTTAAGTTAATTATTTTGTTTTGTTAAGGTTAAGAAGCTCATTAATTAATTTATATAAAATTGTCTTGTTTAAATTGTGAACAAGTTCAACAATTAAATTAAAATTTGGTTACAATTGAAATTCATTTGGCTTTCGTGTAATTGCAATGCTAGCCAATT